AGGGATCTGGCAGCTTACCTTATGCTGAGCTGGGGTCAGCAATAGTGGAGTTCTCAGGGTGGGAGTTGGGGAGTCTGGCCCCTGCTCACCCTGGCTTCTTTAAAGCACTTGAATGTTTGGCTGCTGGAAGATGTCTGCCTCCTGGAGTTGTGCTGAAATACTGGGAGATCTGGCTCCTGAAGAATGCTGGTGGTTTTCCAAATTGGTGTCTACTGGTTCCCCTGTCTGTGCTGAGGCACTCCAGGGTCCTGGTGTTGGCACTTGCCTGCTCCACCATCCTGGGGCTTAGGATCGCCCCCTGGTTTGCTGACGTGGGGCTTGTTGCTGCCTTGCTGGGATGCCTCCTATCCTGTACTGCTCCCTATCCCCCAGAGTGAGAGGGGCCTTTCTCATTAATCCCCAAGCTTCCTGGGTTTTAAGACTGCTGCACTCCATCTTTCTGCTGGCTCAGCTGTTCTAAAGTTTTTCTGGGCCATGTTTTCTGGGCTTTCAGAGGTCAGTAAGGGAGGGTGAGGGTGACTTACTTCGTCCTCCACCATCTTGGCTCCCTGAAGTCCCCAGCAGCTATATTTCAAGAGAATATTTTCTATATAAGCGATCACAAGTAAAAGGTAATTTTCTCTTGTAAAATATTTTTTTTACTTTGCTCCTAGCAAACTTACACAAACTTAGATTGTTGGTTTTGTTTCAAAGAAGGTCATACAAACATTCATTGTAAGAGTTTTCTTAAATTTTAAGAGATCTCCTTTTATGTAAGGTTAATAACCTCAGAGCAGCATGTCCTGACATGTGTCTCTTACAGAATAATCTTAACTAAAAATTATCACAATTTTTGTTAAGTATACTAAAACAGAGGCAAAATTCTTCAGTGACAATCTGTCTTAGCTGATGGCTTAATTCAACATACTAGTTATTCCATGAACAAGATATTCCTTTCAGCTCTGGGCATTTGAGGGAGGCTTTTTTTTTTCTGACTGTCCCTCGTGCCTAGAATGGCCTCCTTCCCCAATTCCACCTACTGACTTCCCTGGTTTCTTTTAAGTCCCAATTAAAATCTCATCTTGTATAGAAAGCCTTTCCTAACTCCTCTTTATTCCAGTGCCTTCCTTCTGTTAATTACTTCATATTTATCTTGTATATAGCTTGATCTGTATATTTTGTTTGCATATTGATTGGATCATTGGGTTCCTCTTTATTAGGAAAATCCTAAATTTTGAATGGGCGTAAGAATAATGCAAAAGGCAAAACTTACGGAAGGCAAAGTAACGTGTAAGGAGGATTCACCTTTTAATTTCTAGAAGGCCTGAGAATATAGAAATTTTTTGAAATAGAATGTAGACAACACATCCCCACCACCTTCAGCATCTAAAAACGGTTTAATGGCAATGTTGCATCATAAGTAAGCTTCAATATTTTCCAGGCCTTGAAATCACTTACCAAGAGTTTAGTAAGGATTAACTGTGCTACAGGTGGTATATTAGGCACTAAGGGATACAAATACAAAAGACTCTGCCACAAGGAATTTACATTCAATTGGGAGGGGAAATACAACACACTTACAACTCATTTAACTACATAGAATACTGAAGCAATTTCAAGAGGGGAGGAGGCTGGTTCACACTTGAAAACTAAGGAAATACAAAGAAAAGTTTTTTTAAAGAGTAGGAAGGGAACTGAGCCTTGAATCCAGGGGTTTCAAAAGGAGGAGAAAGGAACAAGAATATTCTGGGGAGGGGAAAGGCAGGGAGAGGAGGAAAAGACGACTATTTAAAGGCACAGAGGTGGGATGACACAGGAGTCCAGACTTAGGATGAGAAGGGATCTTAGATAGAGGTCACCTAGTCCAAGGGGTCAGACAAATAGCCTGCCACTTGTTCCTATTTGTGTACTACCTACGAGCTAAGAATATTTCCTTTACATTTTTAAGTACAGTAAAACTATTTTTAGCTAGTAGGTAACAGGTCTCCTCTGATCTTGCCCAACTCCCCCCTCAGTTTACAAATGAGAAACTGAGACCAAGAAAGGCTAACTGACTTGCTACGGACACACAGAGAAAAAATCAAACAAAAAAAAAAAACCCAGCAAAATCCAGATCCCAGGTTCGCTGATTTCAAAAGCACCACATCGATTAGTTGGCTAGATGGGCCAAAAAAAAATTACATGTTCTATTCACTGAAATAGCACACGATATTGTTACAGCACCTGATATGTTGGAACTTCACATTCAGTATGGAACTTCAAAAGTAGGCTCAAACATTTATCAAGGATCTACTAAAAAGAAAGGGACTCTAAATTACAAGATCTGCCTGCTTCCTTCATACTCCTTTAGGAATTGGTATATTCTCAAGGGTGACCATTCTGGATATATTCTCTGAATGAGGTCATCTCTTTAAAGAGATTTTCTAGGAAAATAACTGTCTCAGTGTCCTGCTACTACAATTAGATCTTCAGATGAGGAACATCTGCAAGATTTTTCCTCTCTTGACCATCTTAACCTTGACATAACTGACATGAAAAGATTTTTCTCTTGGGTACTGACAGGATAGCAAATACGATTCAGTTTTTCTTTCTTATCTTTTTGCCAACTTTTTATGTGGTGCAGTGTATAAGAACGCTGGGCCTGGATAAAGAAGAGCTGAGTTCAAATCCAATCTCAGACACTTAGTAGCTATGTGATTTTGGGCAAGTTACTTAATTGCTGTTTACCTCAGTTTCCTCAACTCTGAAACAGGAATACTAATAGCATATACCTCACAAGGTTGTTGTGAGAATCAAATTAGATAATATGTGTAAAATGCTTATTAGCACAGTGCCTGGCTAGTAGGTGCTATATAAATGCTAGTGATGATGATGATGATGATGATGATGATGATAAAAACAGGTTAGAAAGGCCCACAGAAAAGATTTATTTAGCTCACTCTAGCATTCACTGTGAAATGAATTCATTTCATTTCAATATCTCATTATCCCATGACCATTCCTTAAACTGACAGTTGAAGATTATTATCAAACAAATATAATTCCCTTTTATAAAATCGTTGGGTAGATTTTTACACTTTTACACAGAAATGATCAATTAAACATGCTTATAAAACCTAAATCCAAAAATTAAGGATATAATTAAACAATTGTTTAAATGGTCACCATTTCATTAAAGATTCAAAACAAAATCTTAGATGATTATGTAGTTTAGGCTTAAATATACTGACATAACACAGAATTCTAAAAGTATTTTTGGAGAAAGGGTTAAAGAAACATGGATTTCTAGGGGCATCTGGGTAGTGCAGCAGATAGAGCACGGGCCCTGAAGTCAAGGAGGACCTGAGTTCAAATCGGTCTCAGACCAAACACTTGACACTTACTAGCTGTGTGACCCTAGGCAAGTTACTTAACCCCAACTGCCTTTAAAAAAAAAAAAAGAAAGAAAAAGAGAAACATGGATTCCACCAGCATTTTCACTTTTGTATCTCTATTCCCCAGGGCCTTGCACTGCCTGCCACTTAGCAGTGCTTAATACATTTCTACTGAATGACTGAAAAAAACTGTCCAGGCATTTTTATCATTCTCAAGCACATTAACAAACAAACCATCTCTCCTAGTCTCTTCTAGCTTCCTGGATTATTATGTAAAACTATTCCGCTTATTTTTCTAAGTAGGTTTACAAGCCTCTTTCTAAAGACAAAAAAAAAGGGGCAGGAGATGGCATAGTGGATAGAGCACTGGCCTTCAAGTCAGGAGGATCTGAGTTCAAATTCGGCCTCAGACCAAACACTTGACACTTATTAGCTGTGTGACCCTGGGCAAGTCACTTAGCCCCAACTGCCTAAAAAAAAAAGGAAAAAAGGAAAATAAAGACAAAAAGATATTTCTAAAATAAAATAGTTACAGAATAGATAAATAGATCTCAGATTATTTTAGACATGTTAATTTTTAGGGCCTTGTACACACTGTCAAATATTAAGACTACATCAGTCTCTAAAGTATCCAAAATAAGGTATGTTCATTGATTCTAAGAATAAAAAGTAAGCAAAATCTTCTTAGGAAATATGCTACCTTCCCAACCCCCAGCTCATCAAAACCTATTAGTAAAGGTGCTTTTCTTTTGCCATAAAATCAAGTCCATCATATAAATTTTATCCTAGGAAGACAAAACAAGAATCATTTTGTCTTAAAGCCAGGAATCCTACATAGAATAAGCACCTGTTTGTTGAACTGAATTGAATCAATTGTTTGCTTTTACAGAATCATCACTTGAAAAATAATTAACTGAACTAGATGTAACAGGATTTTTATGATGTGCTTACTTAAAATCTAACAGTCAAGTTTACAGTTGGAATAATAACTGGATATTAAGACAAGAAGGATACTAAATACTGAGAGCACAGAAAAAGTATTATAATCTAGGCAAGAAATACCTAACTGCTGGGCAATGTAAGGGTACATTTACTTTTTGAATCAAAGCTTCCCTAACACTTTTGGGAGATAAACTCAAAAGGCTATTTGCTTCTCGCTTTTTCTAACATCTAATTATTAAACAAAATGAACTTAGCTGTCAAAGAAAATTTCTTATTACTATAATACTGACAGGTTATTACTGTCTGGAAAAGTATGTTTGATTTCAAATTATGTTAATTTTCTTCTTTTTTAAGTCTTTTTACACAACAAAAATTGTATAGTATAAACTAAAGTATAAATAACATACAACATAAGAATCCTTCTGAAGAAGCAAAGTTAAAATGTAATGAATTCAGTCAAATTACCTATGGTGATCATGTCCATGAAACACAAAAATAGTGACTAAGACATTTACTTTCTAATAATAAATTTGAGGATATCTTAAAATGCGATTCAGGAAAAATGGAACAAAATGTTTTTAAACAAAATTAACCTAGCTAGTAAGAAGGCTAACTTATACCATATTAAATCCAAACTCTATAGTGATTTAAAAAAAAAACTTTCTTCAGTGATATATTTGAATAATATGAATGGATAACACTTACTTGTCTCCAAAAAACTTTCTCCAGAATTCAGCAGCATCTGCTTTTGTGATGCGAAAGTTATCCCCTTGGAACTGTCCATTAGGAAAGATGGCCTTGATTTCTGCCAACATGTGACTAAAGATGAGGGACAGCTTGGTGAGATTCCGCCTGAAAGGAAGAAAGGAGAAATAAAATAAAGGATAATTCGTATGTCTGAATTCAAATATTCATATATTGATCTGAAGGTATGTGGCAAAAAAAAATAAACAAGCAAAAAAATTATAAACACTTAATGCAGATGAAGATGCTTTGGTGCCTTCTGTAGGGAATTGGTACATATGTAGTATTAGAAAACCTTGGAAACACAGGTTGGCTCTATTTTCACCACCAAAACCCTTTAGCCAAAGGTCAATATAAAAGCAGTTTTAATTTTTATTTCATTTCTTAATCTCTCCTTCCACTCTACTCACCAGAAGAAGGTCTTTGACTTTTTAGACCAGTATTCCATCAATCTAATGTTTCGAATGAAACTGAAAAATGCTGAGATCTAGTAATTCCAAAATATTATCTTCAAGGCATATCTTAAAAAAACTGGTGGTAGAGACAATTTATCCCAAATACAAAATTGCAAGTTCTTTGGGGACACAAAGATTGACATTTACTGCTTTTGCTCTTCTAAAAACAGGTAATCCCCCAAATCACTGAAATTTATAAACATAATGTTTTATAAAATGATTTGATTGGCTGCCTATTTTTTATGGTTCACATACATCTTAGCAATAACTTGTGGATCTCAATCTTTTATTTTTTAGTGAACTAGGTTATCTACTTCTGTGGCAACTGACATATCCATCACATTCAGATATTTTAAATATACAACTGTATATGAGTGTATATATACACTTACACGTATATACAAACACATATGTGTGTGTGTGTGTGTGTGTGTGTGTGTAACCAAACCTCTACTATGAACTTGGAGTATTTCAATCCATCTGGGAAGAGGCGAAAAGAGCATCAAATGAAAAGGCCACCTCTTTTTAAAATTTTATTTTTTCCACAATCATATGCCAAAATGATTTTAACCACTTTTATTTAAAATTTCCATCAGCACAATGGATATATATTTTTTAAAAATCAAGATATATTCTGAGGTATCATCTTCACCCTTACCAGATACTTGATGTTATAACATCTATATTAATCAAGTTTCTAAGTCAATTTCAAGTTCAGCAGGCTTTTAAAAAAAAGTGACTAACATAAGATGACGCTAATCCCACATCATGATCATCATATTTACTCAAAATCATTTTCCCAAAAGGTGCCTTAAATTCAAGTGCTTCTTCAATGACTCTCTAGAAAAATTTTCCTATAATTATTACAGAATTCATTCATGTTATTAGAATGAGGGAAAAATCAGTAACATGCAGAAAGACTTATATGATTCATACTTTAAATCTGAACAGGGATTTAAATAAACATTTTACATTATAGGATTATAATAGCAGCTAAATAGTATGCCAACAAAGGTCTGTATAGTCAAAGCTATGGTTTTTCCAGTAGCAATGTATGGCTGTAAAAGCTGGACTATGAGGAAGCTGAGTGCTGCTGAATAAAAGTTTCCAATTGTAGTGCTAGAGAGTCCCTTAAACAGCAAGAAGATCAGATCAGTCAATATCAAACCAGTCAATAACAAAAAAGAGAAATTAATTCAGGTTATTCACTGTAAAGTCAAATACTGAAGCTTAAATACTTTGGCCACTAAGAAGACAGGACTCACTGGATAAGACCATGATGTTGGGAAAAACTGAAGGTAAAAGGAAAAAGGGATGGCAGAGGATAAGATGGAGAGTGTCATGGAAACAACAAACATGAACTTGGACAGACTTCGAAAGATGGTGGAAGATAGAAGGGGCCCGGCATGTTACTGTCTATGGGATCACAAAGAGGCAGACATGACTCAAACAACAACAAAGCATTTAGTTTCCTTATAACAATTCTGTGAAACATTAAAAGTAATTTTTACTACCCACTATATTATTTGTAGATGAGAAAACTAAGTCTCAAAAAACCTTAGTTTTTTGGAAGTGAATGAGAACTCGGGAAGTGTAGATAAGATAACAGCTAATAAATTTCAGAGCCAGGGTTCATACCTATGTTTTCTGACTCCAAGTGCAATGCTCTCTCTCTCCCATAACACACTATCTACAGAGAATCAAAAGTAGATCTAGGGTCCAAATCTTCCAACTCTATTTCTAAGTAAAGTTCTTTCCACAAAGCTTTTTTTTTCTCATTTTTTTCTACCTTTGATACATCTAACTAAACTAAAATTGTATTAAGTAATGTGCTTACATTTGAAAATAATGTTGATAACCAAGGATATGAGGAAAGGCTTCCTGTAAAAGGTGGAATTTTTAGTTGGGTCTCAAAAGAAGCCAGGAAGTCAGGAGGAAGAGATGACGAGGAAGAGGATTCCAAGCATGAGGTACAGCTAGAGAAAATGCCCCAGCACTGAGAGAGAGTGCTTGTTTATGGAACAGTCCAGAGGCCAGTGTCACTGGATCAAACAGTCAATGGGGATTGTAAAGAGATAGGTTTTTATTAAAGGGCTTCCAACGCTCCAAAGACGATTTTATATTTGATACTGGAGGTCTGTGTATGTGAGACAGAGACAGATAAAGAGAGAGGTAGACGGAGAAAGAAAAGGGGAGAAGGAAAAGAAAAAGAAGAAATGATCTTTCTATAATCTGTGACAAAAAAACCCAAACCTGCCATTTATCCTGTTCCATACCTGTATAATTTATATAATCTAAAATCCATGAAAGTGATACTTAAAAAGTATACCACACGTATCTCTACCTCCAACCCCACATATTCTCAATGCAATCTTAAAGTTTTTGTCATTTCAAATACTCTTAAATCATACAGACGTGCTATTATTTTAGTTCAGCTGGTCATTAGTAGGCATAAAATTATATCCAAATCTTTATGAAAGAAAAAAGTGTCATCTGAGATAAAATTTTACATTCTAAAAATTCCTCAAGTTTGGTGTCAAACAAGTGACTCAAAGAAAAATGCTATAAACCTATAAGATTTGGGCTTGAGGGAAAAAGTGAAGTCATGAATTTAGCAAACCATTTCTAAATATCTGTAATAAATGCATTTCTTTATTCTTTTTTTATTTAGTATTTTATTTTCTGCAGTTACATGAAAAACAACTTTAAACATTCATTTTTAAATCTTTGAGTTCTAAATTCTCTTCCTTCCTCCCTCTCCAACCCTCCCCCACTGAGAAGGCAAGCAATTTTAGATAGGTTATACATGTGTAGTCATGTAAAACATTTCCCTAAGTCATGATGTAAAATAAAACAGACCAAAAAAAAAATCCTCAAGAAAAATAAAGAAAGTTTTAAAAAGTATGCCTTAATCTGTATTCAGATATCATCAGTTCTTTCTCTGGGGATGGATAGCATTTTTCATGATAATCCTTCAAATTTGGATCACTGTATCGCTGAGGATACCTAAGTCATTCACAGCTGATCATCTTACAATATTGCTATTACTTTGCACATAGTACATTTCACTTTGCATCAGCTCATGAAAGTCTTTCCAGGTTTTTCTGAGATCATCTTGCTCATCATTTCTTATACAGCACAATAGCATTGCACCATAATCACATACCACAATTTCAGTCATTTCCCCAACTGATAAGCATCCCCTCAATTTTCAATTCTTTGTCAGAAAAGAGCTGCTGTTGATTAAATGCATTTTTTTTTCTAAGATGGCTAAAGGGCTCACTACTTTTTTCTTAACTCTTCCAATTGATACACAAATGCAAAAAGATGTTTTTCATCAGGATAACTAACTTTTCCTTAATTTCTAAACTTGCTATTCTTCCTTTCTTCGTTCTCTAAATGAATACAAACGCCCCTTACTTTTACTCTTAGGATCAGCAGAAACTGAAGTACAATGGCAGTCACAAACCATCCACTGCACCAGGTATAACAGTGCCTTAACTTTAAAAGTGTCAGGTTCTACCCGCAGAGGTCATTTGTGGTAGCTAGACGGCGCAGTGGATACAATGCTGGATCTGAAGCTAGGAAAACCAAAGTTCAAACCCTGTCTCAGATACTAACTAGACTTGTTGGACCTTGGGAAAGTGATTTAATATCTCTCAGCCTCGGCTTCCCCATATGTAAAATGAGGGTAATCATATCACCTATCACACAAGGTTGCTGTGATTATGAGATAATATGTAAAGCACTTACAAACTTCAAAATGCTATATAAATGCTCACTATCATTCTTTTCTTACGTATTACCTCAAAGACAACAGCTGAACCAGATACAAATGAATATTCTCATCTTCATTTTCCCTCTGCTTTCATTGACTTACTGATTTTTTTTTAATTTGGCATTTTACAAAAATAAGAATTTATTTGCTCTGTACATTTCAAAATCCCTTTTTACTCAGAAAAAGATCCATCATAAAATGTTTTAAAAGCTATATTGAAAAATCAGATTTTTCTTGTATCACTTTTTTACATGGGTGTAAAAACTGGCTTGATATAATATTGTTCATTACAATTCATGCTATACTAAATGCTACTGCAATGGCATGGAGGAAGACTGGCTTCTGGAAGGCCCTGCCAGAAAAATACCAAGTCAATCAGGTCCGATATCAAACTGGAAGAGCTTCAAGTACAGGTGAAGCAACGTATCTGTCTATGTTTTTAAGGAAAAACCTAGTGAATTTCAGGAGGGTCACCATCAGAAGGCTGGCCAACAGACAATGACATTTAACTCATTAGGCTGGTTGATACAGCTACCGTATTTAGTAAAACAAGCAACACCCATGGGGCAGCTAAGAGGCTCAGTGGATAGAGCACCGGCCCTGAAGTCAGGAGGACCCGAGTTCAAATCCAGCCACAGACCAAACACTTGACACTTACTAGCTGTGTGAGGCAAGGCACTTAACCCCAACTGGAGGAAGGAGAAGGAGGGAGGAGAAGGAGGGAGGAGAAGAAACACCCAAATAAAAGAAATCTTGGATGCTTGGAGTTGAAATAAATAACGAGCTTACAACAGGGCAGAAATCAATAGACTCTGTTCAAGGGAGTCTTTGCACAAAGTTAAAAGAATTACTCTCAAGAATAAGATGGTCAAAGC